AATAAATAAATAAATCTTAAAAAAAAAACTCAAGTATAACAATTATTAGGCTTGATTTATTATGACTGTGGCACCATAAATATAAGTGACTTTGGATCACATGTCAGTCCTTTTTTACAATATTTTTTTTTACTATGTTGACAAGAATCAGTTTTCATTTCTAAACTCAACAAGTCATAATTTATGTAGAAACTATAAATTTATATAAAATATGGTGTTGGGTATGGTGTGGGCACATATATCTTAAGAGAACAAAACAAATGCAGTTGAGGGTGTGAAGAAAAAGGAACATTCCTACGCTACTGGTCAAGCTATTGTCCTGAATTCTAAGAAGCCCCACACCCCCAAAAAATGCAACCAAGAAAATAGACACCATGGGAATTTCCCTTTATGTTGAAGGCAAGGCAATGATGGAAAAGCTGAAACACTGAAACAATTTCTCTGATGGAATCCTGATGTCATTTTTGGAATCAATGTGTTAGGATTGCAGAGTCCTTGGGTACACTCTGGGAAAGATTTCACCAGAACTTCCCCTTTCAGTGGCATGGGGTGATTTTCCCAGGCGAGTTCTCCACGAGACAGAAACGTTAGTTATATTTAAAGAGCAGGTTTAGGGCCCTCCCCGGTGGCGCAGCGGGTTAAAGCACTGCACTGAGAATCTAAAGCCACTTCCGCATGAGTTCGATTCCCGCCTGCTCCGGAGGTGACCACATGGCGCGGCAGATCTCTCCTGACAGCCCGCTGCTCCCCTCAGCAGTGTACTTCCTGGATCTGCCTGTTCTGCTCCCCACTCTGTCTCTGGTGAAGCCTCTCACCGCCCCTGAGCCTCTGGCCTGTACCCCAGTTCTGTATGCACAAATAAATAAATCTTAAAAAAAAAAAGAGCAGGTTTATTGGAGAAAGGGACAGGAGAGTAAAAGACACTTGCGTAGATGAAAGTCGACAGAAAGAGCTGCCTGGTTTACTGCCAAGTTTACTGAGAAGCCTGCATGGTTACAGGCCGGGTGACTTCAGGAGAGCTGCCTCTGCTGAGGGAGGTCTATGAAGAGAAACCTTGGCATAGAACAGGTCACGGGCAGGCAGAAGGCAGCTGCCCTGCAGAGGAAGAGACCTGGTGAAAAGAAGCACCGGCATAAGCACAGGTGGGCAGGTGCAGGACTGATGTGCACTGTTACAGATATCTTCTTTTTGGGAGGGGCTTATTCACTGTGAGCCTTAGGTTATGGATAACCAGGTAGAATTTGACAAGAACCTGAGATCTACAATGGGCTCAATCTCCATATCTTTACCTTTATGGTGTGCTCTAAACAGTCCCCACCTGATACCTGCTGGGGCCTTATGCTTTGTAATCTAGGCATTGGCACCTAAGGAACTTAGTTTCTAAAGCTGGGTTAATGGCTGTTAATCCCTTCTACTCCCCCTCCAGCTCCTGGCATTGTGTGAGCCAGTTTCCTAGTTTTATGGAGCCTCCTTTCCAGTTTCTCTGTTCTTATCCTCTACTAATACCATTCCTTTTAGGGGCAATTTCCTAGTGAGTGATTGGTTTAGGTTTTTACAAAAATCATGACAACTATTTATCTTAATGAAAACGTAAGAAAACCCTTTCATCGAGGTAAGCAGTTTGAAATTTAAAGACATTAAAATACATGTATATTTACACTTAAATAAAAATTATAAATGTTACTATTCTTGATTAGAAAAAGAATCTTAACAATTATCTGTAAAAGAAAACAGTCTCTCATTGTGTTTCTCAATTTTACTCTTTTAGTCTTCAATTCTGCTTACCATTACCAAGAACTTATGCCAATAATATCTACTAATAGATAAATATTGCCATTTCTACTCTTTCCCCTTAGGTTATATAAAATTTGACAAATAGCAAGAAAGATGCAAATGATTATAATCGAGTTAAATAAAAAATATAGTCATGAACTACATAGGTACAATTTTATCATCATTATTTAAAGATTATATTCATTAATGTTCAGAAGATAAAGTTGATTTGTATCTAAAAATTAGATTTTAAAGAGCCTCATCAAAATCCAGACTCATATTCTAAAACATGAAATCACAGACCATTATGAAAAGAACAGACTGGATCTTATCTTAAAGACAAATGAGAAGAAAATCAGAAGGATTCCCAGAAACTGAATATCAGGCATTGTTCTTTTCCTTTCTGCTGTTTAAAATATGCTTAGGAAATAGTCACAAATCTAATAAAACTATTTTATTTTAATTTCAGGTCAGTTAGAAGGAGTCATGATAAGACAGATAATTCCCTACTAGCAATTAGCATCATCACTAGAACAGTTAAGGTCTTAGTTTAAATGGAAACTAGTGATTAGAAAGATTGTTAAAGGACATCCTAATTAAGATAAAGACCAGTCCATTAGCCTAACAGAAAGAGCACTCTTTGGAATAGAAGTGTATCTTAGGATCAGGTAGACTGATGCGGTTGAATAAATCTCAGTACCTTTTATAAAAATATACTTACAATAAAAGAAAACTATAAAAGAATAGTATTAATGAATACTGTTCTTGAACTTCATTTTCCACTTGGAGAAATTTCTGAACATATTTTCCTTAGGAAAAAGCATACATATTAAAGAAACTTTACTAATATTAAAAACTATCTTTTCATTATTTAAAAATGTAGGTTTATATGGCTAAATGACATTTATGGTTAAATAGGGGAAATTGGGCCCTCCCTGGTGGTGCAGCGGGTTAAAGCACAGCAATGAGAAGCTAAAGCCACTTCTGCATGACTTCAAGCCCCACCTGGTCCAGAGGTGACCCCATGGCGCTGCAGACCTCTCCTGGCCCGCCCACTGCTCCCCTCAGCAGTGTACTTCTTAGATCTGCCTGTTCTGCTCCCCCCTCTGTCTCTGGTGAATCCTCTCACCCTCCACATCTCTGGCCTGTACCCCAGTTCTGTATGAATAAATAAATAAATCTTTTTAAAAAATAGGGGAAATTAATTTATGAATAGAAATACTTATCAAAAGAAATTTTCATTGACTATCTAATTTCCAATTATTCTTTTTCTTCTGAACTCATGGCAGATTTTGTGTATATAATATACATGTCACATTACGTAAAAAATAAAAAGTAAATTGACATTTTAATTTCACAAATTTGAGATTTGGAAAAAATATGCATAAATAATTGTTGGTTGAAGAAATACAGAGAAATGTGGATAAAAAATAACTAAATTTAGAGCATTTATTAGAGACTACTCCAAGTAAAGAATTATTAAAAGAATATATTCATAGAATTATTTCACAAAAAATAACAATATGATTTGTCAGTCCTTGACAAATAGGAATCCGAAGAACAACCAGATTTGACATTAAATCTTCTTTTTATTCCCTACTCCCTACTCTGAACCCATTTTCCTCCATCTCCAGTCTCAAAGTGAAGCCAATTGCTGGTACTTGGAGCCATTACAAGTTAAGACAGAAGAAATTGTACAGATTCCATGTCTAGTGTTAGCAGACAACATCAATCCTTTAAGCTTATTCCTATTTAATTCTTTTGGATGCAATTGCAGAGAAGAGTTTTCTTGATATTTTTCTTCTTCCAGTTTGTTATTGATATATAGGAACACTATTTTTGTAAATTCATTGTTTGGTTTTGGTTCTAGGGAATATAGTATCAGGCAACTTAAGTGTTACTGTGAACTCTTCTTTAAGCAAAATTAATGGATTGCACAATAAAATGATCTAGTATTTTTATTATGAACTTTGAGATGTTAATAGTGTATGAGGAAAAGGAGATTGCATGCTCTCATAAACATATCAGTTTTTATCTAAAAGTATTTTCCATTGCATGTTGATATTTAATTTTATATGATGATAATTATATTTATAAATTATTGTGCTTTTTAAATCATAATATCTAAAGATTAGGGTTATTATCTAGCTTCTTTATCATTTAATACATTAGTAATATTTATCTTGCTTATATATACCCTCTTACTCTAAATGAATGCTTGGTAATTAGAGATATAGTTTTGCTAATAGTCTATAAAATTATGGGAAAGGTGCATGTGTATCCTTATATTTAGGTTATCACTATTAAGTCTTTCAGAATGACATATTGGTATTTTTCAGAATGAACAAACAGAGTTGATTTGAAATAGTAATTTCAATATTTTGTATTAGTTTTATAATTTAAATTATGCCGATAATCAAACATGTTACATAAATTAGGTATATTAAAATTAAAATTTAAACTACTTTTTAATTCATTAATAGCAATAAAGGCACCCAGTTTATCTTCAAGTATAAATTAAAATTAGTATAACTTCACAAGCTTGAAAAAATAATGTATTAAAAACAATTTATTACACAGTATTAAAACAATATTAATAGCATTACTTATTACACAGGTAAGATGCTAATAACTTTACTGTACTTTATTAATGCGTACATAGAGTAAGGACTCCAAATTTTGCCACTTTACAGATGGAAACTGAAACTTGGAGAAGTAATTTAGCTAAGATCATATTAAGTATTGTCACAGTGGGGTTTAAGCCAATCCAGTGTGGCTATGTAACACTGTTTTAAACCTATATTTAGTAAAATGCTTGTATGGATTTGAGGAATAGCCTCTACATAACCAATTATTAAATATTTATTTTTGTTAAATAGTTTTTAAACACTGCCACTTTGAAATTAGTCATAGCGAGAATATTTATACCATGAAAGTAGGCGATTGCTCCAAATAGGGATGTCCCATACTCTGTTCCTCTACAATACCTATAGTACATCATTGCCTTTATATTAAAAATCTTCTCATTGTTCATTTCTGTTAGGTTACAGATATAAATATAATAAATGTAAAGATTTTATCATATGCTGAACTGCCTACTCATGGCATCTATTAAGAAATTTATCATTAATGATTATTGAATTGAATTTGTCACCTAGTATTATCATAGTATCTAAAACAATTTCTTATTGTGAAGAAAATATGATATAAAATATTATCTTTTTCAGTGATAGTGGAAAGTGGAAATATAATTTCTTTTGTGGCTTATGTTAATTCTGGATATTGTGAAGTTTACAGAACTATTATAGGACTTGTGAAACAACAATCAAAAGTGGTAAGTTTTAAACTTAGGTGTTCTTTACTTACTCTAATAAATGAAGGATTTGGAAAACTTTTCATAGGGTATTGGAAATTTGTCTTTTCCGAAATTTTATCCATCATTTCCCCCTTCTTTTCACTGAGTTGTTAGATAGTATAGGAATGAAAGATAAGTTTGAAAATATATTGAGTCATTGGAATGGCAAGTAAACATATTGAAAGAATCTTAACATCCTTTTTCATCAGAAAAATATTAAAACTACAACAAAGTACTACTATAAGCATATCAGCTAATCTAAGATATACTTACCAAAAGACTAAGTAATTTCATTATAGGTACTTGTTCAAGAGCAGTGAAAACACATATCTACAGTAAGATATAATTCTGCCTACATAAAAAACTGGAAGTAATCTAAATGTCCATTGATAAATGGGTGAATAGAAACATTATAATATAGTCTCATTATAATTAAAATTAATGATATATACAAGAATATGGATGAATTACAAAAAAATGGTGGGTAAAAACACCAAACCCTCCTAAAAAGTACATTCTCCATTATTTTAGTTTTAAGAACTAGAACAAAGGTTAATGAATACATAACAATAGAAAACTATCCTTTAATGGCTAGACTGTCTTAAATGGAATTAAAATTAATATATAAACTTAATTGAGTTCTGCACTAGTTATATTCAATATAATGGTTTGCATATGTAATTAATTAATCTGAGTTCATCAGTAGATACTGGTTTTTGATCCCAACATACTTACTAAAGGTTTTTACCTTTTTTGAGTTCCTGTCACCTTAGTTTTTGTTTTGTTTTTGATCCTATGACTTACCAACTGAACCCCACTTCAATGCTGATGGATTCTCCCTAAATAATTTGGAGTTTCAACTCTTTATACAGAAACACGCATACAAGTCTTTATCATCAAGATTTACAATTCGAACATAAATTTCTAGTTCCCTGAGTCAAATTCATTCCTCATGTTTCTTTTTGATTAAAACTGGAAAGTCAGGGAAGTAATACACTTTTTTTTTTTGCAATTAATCCCATCAATCTGATTTCTAGCACTCTACTTTTTCTTTATTCTTTTTTAGTCTGAGTGTGCTTTGTACTAGAGCTGAGTTCACAAATGGTGATTTACAAAACATACTAAATTATGCTATGTTTACAAAGTAGTATCCTAGGATCTTGAAAATGCAATAATTTAAACACATGTTAATAAATATTTTCTATGATATGAATGACATTTCTAATTTATTTTTAATGCTGTATCAATATTTAGTCATTAAACATCATTTATCTTATCTCTTACAGAAAAAAATTCGAAAACTTGTTTATGTGGGTAAACTTCAGGAGAAAGAGTCCTTTGGTGAAATTAGTGTTCTTCTTCAAATTCCTTTCACATGCACTGTTGTCACAGGAAATGAGGTTGAATTGGCAATCATTGAAGATAAAGACCTATTTAGTAAGTACATACATGTCTCTTATTTTAATTGCATTATCAATTTGATTTCCAAACACTTTCAGAAATTCTGGGTTAGTTGTTTTGTTTTTTTTTTAGTTTAGGATTACTACAAAAATAGATTTTTTTGGTGATTCCATAACTAGATAACAACTTGTGATTTTGTAACATTGATGACACTGAAAATCAGTCAACCCTGTATAACTCCTTATTACATGATACTTTATCTGTCCAGAGACAAGTAGTATCCTTCATTCTCTGATATTATAAATATCAATAGTCTGTCAGTAAACTTCTACACAGCACAATTATGAATGGTTTAGGTTTATATAATCAACATATGATACAATTTTATAAGATTTTCAGAAAAAGTTTATCTTTTTTGTGAAATGATATGTTTATTTTCATAGACATTGAAACTCATGATATTTTCTATTTTTTCTTGAGTACAAGAGTTATCAGGAAATCCAATATAACTCTTAAGTTTCTGAAATTATATTTGTATATAGTACATCTGGATTCTTTGAAAATATTAAAGCATAGGTAAGATTTACAGAGAAAGTTGGCCTCAAAATTTATGCAAATACATTTATTTAAGAAAAACAGAACTTTCATCAATCTTTGGATGGTTTGAATTTGATATTTTATTAATATTATATTGATTGCCAACAAGCATATGAAAAAATATTCAACATCACTTGTAATAGTGAAAATGCAAATTAAAACCATAATGAGATACCACCTCACACCAGTGAGAATGACTCATATTAAAACAACTAGCAACAACAAATGTTGGCGAGGAAGTGGAGAAAAAGGAACTCTCCTGCACTTCTGGGGGGAATGCAAACTAGTACAACCACTATGGAAAGCTTTTGGAGGTTTCTCAGACTGCTAAAAATGGAGCTTCCATATGACCCAGCAATCCCAGTTATCTATCCAAAAGCACAAAAGCACTGATTCAAAAGGACACCTGCACTCCCATATTTATTGACACTATTTACACTAGGAAAGACATGGGATCAACTGAAATACCCAAAATAGATGACTGGATTAAAAAGATGTGGTACATATACACAATGGATTATTCTCAGCAATCAAAAAGAGAAACTTGTGCCTTTTGCAACAACATGGGTGGAACTGAAGAGATCATGTTTAGTGAAATAAACCTGAAAGAAAAAGAAAAATACTGGAAGATACATGACAGGAGTGTAAGGGATCACTAGAAGAAGAAAAAAAAAAGAGCAATTGCAATAAAGTAAAAATGAAACAACAAACAACTATAAACCAGAGACATTTTACATGGGCAGAAAGGGAAATGGGATCAAAACTGAGCTGGGAAGAGTACACAGGACTATGGTGATGACACATAGGTGAATTGGTGGTGGGGAGAAAATGGGGATTGCAACCAAGAAGAAAAAATGCACAAAATGAAGAATGATTAAAAAAAAAAAAACAGAAGAAAAGGAAAATAAATAAAGTCTTCCCCTGAGAGGGAGGAAAAAAGAAAATGCAACAAGAGCACAAAACAGAATTTGGTTGTTGTTCAAAGTCATTGGTAACTGAGATGCTTGAATATGTTTACAGAACATAATCATCATTCAACTCAAAAGGCAAGGCATGTAACTTTGCCTACAAAAGAAGTTCTTATTACTTACCTGTTCAAGGGAGGAAGGATTTTATTTTTTATTATTTGCATACTTGTAATTTAGGGTTGGGGGTGGAATAAAGGTTGTTCAAATCCTCACTTCCATTCATCACTCACTGAGTCAACAAATAGTTTTGACCATCTACATTACCTAGGTACTATATAATGTAAAGGGTAATGACACCAGACAAAACCTAATCCCATCAATTTATATTCTACAGAGAGAAGAGATAGACCATGTACAATTAAATAAAACAAAGTAGAAAACTAATGATTATTTCAGATGGGTAAGAAAAAAAAATAGTAACAGTTAATGGACTAAAGTATGCCTAGAGGTACTTTTTTATTCGAGGGATCCTTTTCCTTTTTTTTCAGTGTTTTTTTAAAAATAAGATTCATTTCTTTATGCATACAAGAACTGGGGTACAGGCCAGAGGTGTGGGGGTGAGGGGATTCACTAGTAACAGAGCAGGGAGCAGAACAGACAGACTGAAAACACTGCTGAGGGGAGCAGCAGGCAGGTCAGGAGAGGTCTGCCACACCATGTGGGTCACCTTCCCGCCACAGTTTGACCTTGTGCTCTAATCATTGTGGCTAGCTTCATAGTTCTGCACTTCAGCTGGTTGCACCACCAGGAAGGGCCAGGATCCTTTTCTAAGAAGGTAACATTTGAGGTAAACCTTCATGATTAGAAAAGGCCAATTAGTGTGAAGATCTGAAAATGAACATTCTAAATCAAAAGAACAGTCACAAAATTTCTGAGAAGGTAACGATTGTGACCTTGAGTATCAGAAAGAAGATTGAAGCAGCCTAAAGGAGATTATAAGAGACTTTTGGAGAGGTAGAGAGAAACAAGATTTATGATTTACCAGGCTCTGAAAAAGGTTACATTCCTTTCCCAAAGGTAAAATTTCAACTAGTAATGAAAAGGCTTTTAGAGATTTTAAGAAGGGTTTCCACAAGAACTGTGACCAGTGAACTTGAGAGACTTCACATGTGTTGTAGCCTTATTCTAAATCAACATATTATAGAATAAACTATAGCAGTGAAGGAATTATTTTTTTTTTCACCCAGGGGTATTCAATTATCATGCTTATTGTTTTATAGTGAGGCATAGAATTAGAATGGTACAATTTGTTATTAACTCACCTGACCTACATTATATATTCATTTGATTCAATTAAATTGAGCTTTTTAGGTGCTATTCCCTACAGCAGAAATTCTCATACATTAATACAGCTCTTTTTTTGACAGTAAAAACACTTTTTTTCTAACTTCATATTAAAATCATGCTTATTCTCTATGACTTATGTAAAAACTTTTTCTATGAACCTTATACCTCACTTCATTAATTTCCTCTTTATTGACGACAGTATGATATGGTAAGAAGATCAGGAATTTTTCAGTTAAAAAGTAAAATGCTCTTATTTATGCTCTAACATTTTCTGTGATTGTGACTGTAACACATTACTCTAATCCTTAAATCCTAATGTTTTTATTAGTAAAATGTGTATAAAAATAATTATTTTCTAAAAATATCCTGACACATATCAAAGCACTTTTCAAAATTTTTGTCTGCCACACATTTGGTCATATACAGAAATAGAATTTTGTATTTGTGTATTTTATTAGATAGCTGCATGTAATTAAAATAGTTAACATTTAGCCCTCCCTGGTGGCACAGCAGGTTAGGATGCAGCACTGCAAGCTAGCTGCAGCTGCTTCAGTGCGAGTTCAATACTCCGCCCCGAAGGTGATCCATATGGTGAGGCAGACCTCTCCTGACCCACCCGCTGCTCCTCTCAGCAGTGTACTTCATTGATCTGCCTCTTCTGCTCCCCACTCTGGCTCTTGTGAAGACTCTCACCACCCCTGCACCTCTGGTTTGTACCTCAGTTCTTTATGCATAACTAAATCTTTTTAAAAAATAGTTAACATTTAGTGATTGTTTACAGTATTAACAGGCTTTATTTGCTTTATGTCATTTAACTGTAATGAAAACCCCCTGAGTTATTAAATGTATTAAAGCAAAGAGGAAACAAAGATGTATAGAGCATAAACCAGTTTTACAAATACTGAGAAGTTTGTAAGAGGTGGAGGAGGAGTCAACCATATTCTCTCCAAAGTTCATGATCTTACCCAGATTTCTAATTTTGTAGATGAGAAGAAGGAATCTAAGAAAGAGGAAAAATTAACTTAGGTAGGAATAACCTGAGGAGTAAAATCACTTTTCTTTGCATGAATATAGTTATGCTAAAATACTATTTATAGAATTTTTAAAAATAAAAATACAAATAGGTTACTTCGTAATAATGTGTTTTTGTTGGTTTAGAAGAATTACTTAGAGATGTATTTAAAAAAAATTGAAGGTCTCGTAATGGAGACATTTGAACTTTGATATATTGAATTAACTTTTTGAGAAACACTCATAGTCTCTTTAAGAACAATTTATTACAAATACAATAATAGATCTTCAGTAATTTTGATATGTTTTTGGAAAAGTCTAGTGACTATTCACATATTTAATTTTTTAATATGAGTAATTGTTGCAGTGATCTTTAAATTATCTTGTCAAACATTTTTCAATACATACTTCAAAATTTGATAATCACTTATGTTTGTTCTACCTTTATTACTATAAAATACAAAGAAAATTCTAATATTTTCTTCCCACTTTACACTGGATGAATTTGTGGGATGCACTCTCGACATGCATTCACCCCTCAGTGAAAAAATTAATCCAATGTAATTAATTGTGAAAACAATTAATCCCATAAGAATGATTAATTTTCATCCTTTGATGATTTCATTACAACTACTGGTAAGTTCTCTAGATAGAGGGCAGGGGGAATTTATATAAGTATAAAAACACAATATTTCCTGTGTATTTTAAGAGTTCATAGAGGCTAGTGGAAGGCAGATAAGACACTCTGTCTAGCATAAGAAAGCTAATGGAAGAGGAAGGTGAGCCTGCCTAGATCCCACCCATTAAATTTATTTTCCTCTCTGCCCTGGAGGTATGAACAAATAAGACCTTCTTCAGTATCTTTGTGATTTCTCATCTATAATCTGGCATATAATAATGTATGCTGTCATAGAAAGTAAAATTCCTCCAAATACCTTGTAAATCAGAATACAAAAATGTTGTCTAATCATTTGGCAAACTTCTACTAGACTTAAGATGTGCTACCTTTCACTTAACTGTCTGTGTTCAACTTAAGAGTTCACCACTGCTGTTTTTCATGACCCCATAAGACATCAGAGAGTCATTGACAAGAGACAGACCTCTCATTCTTGTTTAGTGCTTGAGATATATTAAAGTATATTTTTTTATCCACAGAATTCAAGTATACTCTTTGATAATAATGTTATGATACTAGAAATCAGTCCAAAGAAGAAAGGAGGGAACACAAATTTGTGGAGAATAAGAATAAGCCACATGATCTGTTTGTTCAGTAAGGAACTTAAAAGTTAAATAACAAACTACTTGGAGATAATGAAAGTGAAAATATGACTTAGAACCTATGGGATGCAACAGAAAGCACACTGAAGGTGAAGTTTATAGCAATAGAAGCTTATCTCAGAAAAAAAAATTCACAAATAAAAAATCTAGGTTTGCACCTAAAGGATCTAAGAAGAATAAACAAAATCCGAATCTGTAGAAGAAAGGAAATAGTAAAAATTAATGAAACAAATATCAAACAGTAATTTAAAAGAACTGTGTAACCAAAAGCTGATCTTTTTAGAAAGATCAATAGACAAAGATGCAGCCAGAATCATAAAGAGAAAAACACAAATAATAAAATTAAAAATGAACAATATATACTACAGAATAGGTACAATAGATACTACAGAAATACAAAGGATCATAACTGAGTATTGTGAACAATTAAGTGGTAAAGAATGAGGCAATCAAGAAGAAAAGGAAAAATTCTTAGAAATATGCAACAATTCAAAACAGAATAAAAAAGAAACAGAATATCTGAACCGACCCACCAGGACTCAGAAATTGATCAGTAATCAGATGCCTCCCCAAACACAAAAGGACAGGATATATGGCTTCATTAGTGATTTCTAACAAATTTTCAGAGAAAAAGTTAAGTTATTTTCCTCAAAGTCTTCCCAAAAATGTTCAGAAGGAAAATTTCCAAATGCTTTCTTTGAAGCCAACATTATCCTGATTCCAGAACCAGAAAAGGACATCATAAAAAAGAAAACTATAAATCACTATCTCTGATGAACAAAGATATAGAAATACTCAACAAATACTAACAAACTAAATTTGATAATATGCTTAGAGAATTACACAGTTTCATTTAGATTATCTTCCTTTTATTGAAACAAGAAAATGACATAGTTGCACTTCTGATCATGACAGCAATTTTGCTATCATAAAGTTGATGATTAACTTTTTAGCATCAATGTCCTCAAGATTTTAGATGTCAGCATCTTTATATTGTTATCTGGTTTATACCCGTGTTAAGGGCAAACATTTACCTTTTGTAAGTGTTCCTTTGTTAGGTTAATAAATTTGAAACCTTTTGTAATCTTATATGTATATATTTTCTAGAGACATCTAAATATTTATGTGTGAATTTTGTTAGCTAAACATTTTTCAAAATTAAGCTCTAGGCATTTCTACTTGTGTTTTGATATATTCTGCTCACTCTTTTCTCGGGAAAATAGACCTCCACAGAACACAGGAATTCTCTAGCACTATGTGAGCTTGTTTGTGAGCCAGCTTTTTGATCTGTATCAGAAAGGTAGTAATGACTTATGATACCTACTTGTTCTGTATACAGTTAATCAGCATTAGATATATATTGTGATGATCCTCTTAATGGCTTCAATTACTCTTCAGCACATTTTTAGTTTTAACTGAATGCATATCTAGTCTCAACTGAATGCATATCTGTAACACTATAGATTGCTTTATACCATCCATCTTTTCTTTAAACCTTTTATTATATTCCCAGCATGATATTCGTCTTACCAAATCTCAAAGAGGTCTGTAGGGTTGTACATAATTCCTCTGTTTTAGAAGTTTCAATTCACCATGTTAACCATACTCAGTACATTAAGAAGCAAACAGAGTTGCCTATAAGCTCCTATATGGTGTTCTTAGTTTCTCCTATAACTTATTGGGCTTTAACTCTATTATTAGTACTCTTTTTGGACCAAGAGAGTGAGTAAATCTAAAACAAACTGATTTTACTGCTATAATTTCAGACTTACCTTTTTTCCTGGGAGTGAAAATTGTTTTCTTCCTGGGATATTTTTAATTCTTGTCATATTATTCTTGTTCTCTGTTTAATTCTTTAATTAAACTTAGGAGAATTTTCCTGCTTGAAGTTAGACATAAAAATACAATTGCTGTTTCTATTTGTTTGATCTATTTTAATGGAGCAAGTATATTTTTTGTTTTCTTTTCATGTCTTTTAGTTGCTTTATTTCTTTACCCACAGTTGATTCCATAGACAATAGTTATTTTTGCTATTCCTCATGTTTCTTTATGCATAAGTATGAAGCATGATGATTAATGAGCAAGATTTTTAAATCTGTTGCCAAATGTGTGTTGGTCCTAAGGATATGAGGACTAAAGAACTATGCCCAGAGGCAACACCAGCATGTCCATTATGCACGTTTGTGTTGTGGTTTCAGAGTCACCTGAACTTTCTGCTTCCAATTCTCCTAGAGCTTCCCAATGTTAAAACTGTAATTTGTGTGAAGAAAAGACAATGAATTGAATATAAACTTTTTTCATGAAAAGAGTATTTTTTTTAAAAGAAATTTCACCCTGGAACGGTTCCAAATCTTGGACCCATGCTCATATTCTGGGTTTCCTTGGCTAAATTATGAAACCATTCTAAAGTCCCTGTGTCAAACAAAGGTTCATTCAAATAGGAGGACTGTTATTAGAAATATTTAGTGTTTGGAAGAGCTCCAGTCCTTATCCTTTCTGAAGGTTTTTCAGAGCA